TCATACCGTCCAGCGGTTCCGATGCGTCCAGCGCGAGAGTTAGAGAGGCCGATCAGGCATTAAATCTGGATCTACAAAGATTCTGGTCCACCGAGCTCTTGGGGATCGAGCCCCAATCTCAGGACAAATTCAAGGAAGAGAGCTCAGGGCTCAAGAATTTTCTCGAGAACAACATCAAGCGGATGGAAAATGGCCATTACATGGTCAGCTTGCCGTTTAAAGGCAACATCCGGACGCTTGGCGACAACGAGAATATAGCGCGAGGGAGCTTGACCAGACTACTAGCAAAGACACGGAACAATACGGACCTCTTGAAGTCATTGGACATGCAGCTGGCGAAGTATGTGGAAAAAGGCTACGCGGAGTTTGCGTCGCCGGAAAAGCCGGGAGAACTTGTCCACTACCTTACCCTCCTACCCGTCTTCAAGCGAAACACTTCGGAAGAGATCATCAAAGTACGAGTAGTGAAAGACGCGGGAGCGCGCAGAAAAGATGAAGCAGCTTTGAATGATGTTCTGGAGTGCGGAGATAACCTTCTGCCAGACATCATCAAGGTCTTGCTGAGATTCCGGCAGGACGAGATCGCGATTGTTTCAGACATCGAGAAAGCGTCTTTGCAATACGAGATTCAGCCGGATCATCGCACTTTCCTGCGATTGTTCTGGCCTTCGGATATCAGCCAGGATCGGAATGCGCCGATCAAAGAATTCTGGAGCGCGGTGCTCGATTTCGGCATCATATCGAGTCCGTTCATCCATTGCGCGGGAATCAAGTATCACATCGCGCAGTTGATCAAAGAGCACCCCGAGAGATCCAATCTATTGCAAGATATCGACAAAAATTTCTATATGGATGATCTAATTGCCACCACGAACTCAGTCGACGAAGGTCTGGTTTTCTAATTCATGTTTGACGCGTTCAGCGCTGGGGGTTTTAAGCTCAGGCGGTGGGCGACAAACAGTTCGGCTCTGGCATCCAAGACGCGCGATCTAGAGAGAGACCCGGATATCCAGATACTTGGCGACGAACCTGATTTCAAGTTTCTCGGAGTCGGTTGGATCCAGTCCACGGACTGTTTGCACATAAACATCCCAGCGGCACTGGGAACATTATCGTCAAACGCACCGACGAAACGCACACTACTCAAAGGTGTAGCACAGATTTTTGACCCGTTGGGGCTCATTTCACCAATCACTATCAGAGCGAAGATCCTCTTACAGTCCCTTTGGAAACAGAAACTCGGGTGGGACGGTAGTCTGATCGGGGAAAATGTGGAGGCATTCGAGAATTTCACTGACTCTCTCGGAGAAGCGCGCGCAGTGTTTGTAAACAGAGACATTGTGACAGCTCGAGAGGTCGCGAAGCGCGAGCTACACGCGTTCTGTGATTCTTCTTTGGAGGCTTTCGGAACGGTAGTCTACATTCGAGAGCTCTTGAACACGGGTGGCGCTGAAGTTCATTCCGTAGCCTCCAAGGCTAGGGTAGCCCCACTTAAGTCGGAGTTTTCGATTCATCGCCTCGAGCTGATCAGCGCGGTGCTTTCGGCACGGTTGGTTGATAGGGTGAAATCGTATCTCAATTGTCATTTCGATTCAGTCCATTATTTATTGGTCGGAGGATTCTCCGACCCTTCATTGGATCAAAGATAGTCCTGGTCGTTGGAAAGCGTTTGTTGCCAATCGGATCAGAGAGATTCAATCTCTATCCGATCCCGCCGATTGGGACTATGTTATGTCGGCGGAGAACCCGGCGGATATGCTAAGCAGGGGAACTCCCATGGCGGATGAGGAATCCAGGGCCGTGTGACTTCAAGGACCGCCGTGGCTTCTCGAGCCAGGTCGACCGACGACGGCTCACGACTTGAACGATTTCTTTGAGAGCAAGAACAGCGTCGAGAACGAGAAAAATGAGTCGAAGTGCTTGACAAGTCTGGTGTCCACTTCGGAGAGCGATCGCGTTTTCGACGGTCGGCGATTATCATCTTGGTCGATTCTCGTATCCAGTACAGCCAGAATAATCAGATGGCTGGCGCTAGGCAGGAAGCAAACTGAGCGTTCGGCACTGTCTTCTCCGATTTCACCGGAGGAAGCGGCAACTGCGACTGAGAAAATATTGAAGAACATCCAGAAGGAGTATTCCGGACCGGAGATCGAGGACCAATGCAGGTCAATTCCGGAAGAAAGCAAAATTTTCAAGTTAGCGCCTGTCGTGGATGAATCCGATTTTCTGAGATGTCGCTCGAGGTTGGAGCGAGCGGAATAATTATCATTCGGAGAAAAGTATCCAGTACTGCTCCCGGGTGAGAGTAATGGAGTGAAGCTACTGATAAATTCACTCACGAGAAAAAATCTCTTTACGTTGGGGGTATCGCGGCTACGATGAGCCTATTGCGGAAGAAATATTTCATTCCATCAGCGCGTAGAGCGGTTGGAGGCGTTCTCAGAGATTGCAAGGTCTGCATGCGTTTCAGAGTCGAAGCATCGCTGGAACCAGTACCACCACTTCCAGAGTTTAGAGTCGACACAGCGCCGGCTTTCACGGTCACGGTAGTAGACTACGCCGGGCCAATTCCTTATGAGAATGAGCAGGGAGGAACGGCCAAGAGCTATATCGTGCTATACGTGTGCTCGAGCACGAGAGCTCTGCACTTGGAATTGGTTCCGAACATGAGCACATACGAGTTCCTCCTATCACTGAAAAAAATTCTGAGTCGTTTCGGTTGCACGACGAAAATAATTTCGGACAACGGTCTGACTGAGCTTCGTACGGGCGGCTAAGGAACTCAAGATCATATACGATCACGTGAAGTCTGCGGCTGTCCAGCACTATTTAACTAACGCGGAAGTCCCTTGGGAATTCATAACCGCGAGAGCACCCTGGCACGGTGCCTGGTGGGAACGGATGGTTCAGACAGTGAAGAGACCCCTGCGGAAAATCTTAGGACGGAACACACTCTCCTTCAGAGAGTTTCGAAATCGAAGCATTAGTAAATCAGAGGCCTTTGACATCGGTTCAGATGGACCCAAACGAAATCAGCGCTCTCTGTCCAGCAGATCTGGTATACGGTCATCGCGTGAAAGTGAGTCTGCCGGAGATGCGTCTCAGACCCAAGAATAGGGACGCGGCCGATCCGAACGTCTTTTCTCGTCGTTGGAAATACCAGCAAGCGGTGTTGAAGGATTTTTAGAAGCGTTTCAAAGAGGAATACTTGCAATATCTGCGTTCAGCGCATATTCGTGATCCAGTCACACCGCGTTCGATAAAAGTCGGAGATATCTGTCTACTCAAAGACTCAGTCCCGTCGAGAGCTCATTGGCCCCTATGTCGAGATCTGAGCCTTCCGGGGGGAGAGCGTACGGAATTACGGCAGCGGTCGTGCTTAATCAAGTTGGAAACAGGTCAAACGTTCAGTAGACCGATTCAGTTGCTCTACCCTCTGGAAGTCTAGCGAACAGATCGCAGACGAACACAGAGGGTAGCAGATTACTAATTAAGGAAAACGCGTCGGTCGCAAAAATACATACATATATTATCAAGAAATTACAAGCGGCGGGCCAGTCGCCAGCACATTCAATTCCTGCGAGGCGGATTTCCGATGGCCTCGTATGCTTCGCGCTGTCGACGAGCGAAGTCACTTTCCGGGCGCGTCCGGAGTCGCTCGAACCGAATCTCGGCTGCGAGGACGCGGGTGCGCTCCCGTTCCAACTCGAGTTCCTCCTCCTTGCGACGATTTTCCTCGCGATGGCGCTGAATCTGCGCGTCGAGGGCGGCTCGGGTTGCGTAGTGTCCGGCCTGTCCTGCGAAGCTGGCGGCCGCCTCGGACTGGTTCCGAGGCGCCGGGGTTCGGCGGTATTGAACGGCGGCGAGACGGATCCGACGAATGTGGGCAGCGCGCGCGCTTGGTGTGGGGCTGGGGGATCGATCCGCTGGCGTAAGGAGCCGAGCTCGGAGGGCTTCTTCTACACGACGAAAGAGCTCGTCGCTGGTGGGGGGAGGGACCCGAGTCCCTCGGCAGCGAGCCCGTTTTCTGGCGTCGATGTAGGGCTGCCGCTCGAGATACGACATGGAATTCCACACGACAAGGGCCGCAGCCCTCACATCACCAAGGGAGGCCCCGTCGAGCCGGGAGCGCATCCCCATTGAACGTACGAAAAGGCCCAGAGGGCTTCTGTCGAAGGTGCAGTCAGGCAAGTTGAACTCACGGTGGAACAGCGAGAGGTGACGAAAAATTGGAATCGTAATCGCGGGCTCAGCGCTGGGGAAGGATTAGCGGACCAATGGGGTTACGGGCTCGGCACATTGCACATGTCGATTACTCAACGGTTTCTCTGGAGCCGTCTTCCACTTCGATGTCGAGTCTTTGTCGCGCAGATCCGGTCTCAAACCTATCAAATTTCTCCCGTCGAATGTTCTAGAACATCCAGTGTTTCCGGGAAAAAATATTCAGGTCGAGCGTCTTGGCCGGACTTAAAAATGTGCCGCATTGTTATTCGCGAGGCCAACGACGCAATGTATTAATTAATTATGTACCAAGTTACATAATTAATTAGGAGTCGATCGGAATTTGGCCGGGAGTGTGGCGAATCCCCATAGATAGCTGAATCCGAGGAGTGTAATATCAATAAATGAAGGCCCGCGGAGAAGCTTCTCTGTTGCGATGGGAACGAAACGTCGAACCCCTGCACGTCCCGTCGTCGGTTGCGACGCGGCGGTAGCGGCGGCGGCTAGAAGGAACTTGCCAACGATCCTTGCTAGCGAGAGCATCGTGCGAACGAGTGGCAACAGAAAAAGCGACTCCCGGGCGGAGCGCGTCAACTGGGCCATAGCGTAACTGGGCCAGACCGTCAAGTGGGCCAGACCGTCAACTGGGCCATAGCGTCAACTGGGCCATAGCGTCAACTGGGCAATAGAGTCAAGTGGGCCAGACCGTCAACTGGGCCAGACCGTCAACAGGGCCGCAAGTTGATTGGCGAATATAATGAGAATCTTCGGAGCGGAAAGGGGCCATTCTGCGGGAATTTCGAACCCATCAACGACGCTCTATTCATCCCGGAGCGCCCAATGATTCTCCTTTGGGATCTCGGTTGTTGAAAGTATTCCAGCGGAGTGCATCCAAGTTTTCGCGGCGCCGGCCTCGAAGTGCGTTCAAGAGGAGCACAAGGGGATATTCCACAGAGAAGCACGAGTGTAATCCAATCTACCGATTCGCTCGGAAATGAGAAACAATAGAAGACCACGAAATCCGACATGAGACACTCTTGCCTCTTCCGACGATCAGCAAACATTCGCCGACCGAACAGCGGAAGAGACTGGCCGACGCCTAGCGGATCAACGCGCCGCTTTCGGGCCGTTGGGCAACGGACGCCGCGCCGCGGCGGCGCCGTCTAGTTCGAGGGCTTGGATGTCGACGCTCTCTGGCCAGATTCTTGGGGTTATCTGAGTTCTCCCTCGATCACGCTCTCGACGTTCACAGTCTAGCTATATTGCTCAATCCAGATGCCCTCAAGAGGCGATACCTTCTCCGAACGTAATTCCGTGCGATGGCTGACGTGTACGCAGGAGAATCTATTGGTGAGATCGAGTCTGCGAAGGTGCCGCAAGCTAGACGTCTGGTGTGGGATTCCTTCAGAGAAAGGTCAGTACGATCTACCATGCATATATCACCGAGCTGTGAGCCCGTCTATTCGTCCTATCGGAGTCGGAGTCCCTCTTTGAGCAGAGTGAGTTTCCTCGGTCGAATATGACCATCGTCATATCAACCTGAATGCAGTCCCTGAATCGCAGGTTTCACGACTGGATGATACGAGAACTGAGTCCATCGCGCATTTGAGGAATCTGCATTGAATCGTCGCAGGAAATTCCCGGCATGAGCAAATACACAATGCATCATTTGGAGGAGATC